GCTATGGCTCCAGCTGCTGAGGTTCCAGCTCCTGCCAGTCCTGCTTCCGCCCCCTTGGCCAACCCTGCCACTGCCTGTACCCCATCTCAGGCCCGGTGTGCTGCCAAACCACCCTCTATCAACCCACCTGTGTCATCTCCGATGGCCTCGCCCCGCATGCTGTGCTACACCCTGTCCCTCTGCCAGTGATTCCTTCTGATGGCCTCACAAATTCACAGAACGCATGGCTCACCTCTCTAACCACTCATGTACATCCTCCTTTTGTGCTCACCCTTAAGACCTAAAATGCTGTAGCTGCTGCTCCAAACTTTATCGATGGTGCGCTCAACTTTATCGAGCCCACCGCAGTACCTGCAGCCCTTGGAACTCTGGCCTGTGGCCCAATTCTGCTCCTTTTAGATGTTTCTCCTCCCATCCTAGTGGGAATTTGTTTGTAACGTTACAGCTCTTGTCTGGGGCTATTCTCCCCCATTTCTCCTTCTTAGCTTTCGGGCCTCAGGGCATCAAGTCCAAGGAGCTAAAAGTGGATTTCAGTATTTCTACCATGATGGAAGTCTAAGGTCTCTCTCAATGGTCCAAAGGCAGACTCTCTTTTATCATTCCTGCTCCCAACTTATGTTAGGACTCTATACAAAATAAACCACCCCTTCCCTAAAGAACATTCTCATCGTGTGCATACTCTTCTTTAAGATTTTTCGATGGAATGAAATTGTCCTTTACACACACAGGACTGCTGTGAATGGGACATAAAAGCTGAGCCATCTTTCTCACAGCTTAGGTTGCATGGACTGTCTCCTTAGTGCTCAGACAGGAAAGAAAGTCTCAAGATCATCATCACACACAAAAAAAACACTTTTAAAAAAATATGGAAACCATTCATGTTCTATGGGCCATAGGCAGACCGCTCATCATTATAAGGGTCCTACTGGAATGACTGGAGCTGGGAGGAATGGTGATTGGGAAAAACATACTGAAAGGCTGAGTGTTATACATCCAAGATGAAAGACAGGCCCCCCTGGTGGCACAAGGGCTCAAGGCTCAGCACTATGAAGCAATCCGTAGCTACCGTAGTGCGAGTTCGATTCCCAGCCAGGAGCTCACCCACAGCAGACCTGTCCAGTCTCGCCCGCTGCTCCCCTCAGAGTGCATTTCAGTAGATCTGCCTGTTCTGTTCCCCACTCTGTCTCTGTGAATCCCTTCACCCCATGCATCTCTGGCCTGTAGCCCAGCTCTTCTATGCAGAAATAAACACATCCTAATGAAAAGGGGACAGGAGGTTAGGACAGGATTTCAAGCCAGACTCTTTATTGGGTGCCTAGAAATGGACTCACTGCAGGCAGAGGGAAGATAAAGCTGAGGACGAATCCCAGGTCTTAGTCACAGATAAGCAGGTCCCAGCATAGGCTGGTCTACCACGCCAAGGTCTAGACCAAGGTCAATAACAGAACCCTGAGGAATGGGGTGGGGGCGCCTACATGATTGCCCATGATCTGGAGTCTCCCAATTTCCTGACAAGCTCTCATGCGCTGCAAGTAGCTGGGGTGCTACTTTCCCCGTTGACATTCCGTGACGCCTCTATTTGGAAGATAACACAGAAAGAGCACACGCCTCCCCGCACTACTGTCTCCGACACCTCTTGCTACAGACCAGTACTTAGTGGTGACTTACAATACAGCACACCGAGAAAATGACCGAACCCGCTAAGGAGGGTCCAGAGCCCAAAAGCTGCGCAGGACTCAAAGGCAGCTTCGTGGATAGCGCTGCTCCTTCCCACCAGGGACACAAGCTCCGTTGTCTCTCTTGGTTTTGTTTTTGATTGATTTATTGATGCACCCAAGAACTGCGGTACAGGCCAGGGCTATGGGCGGCAGGGTGAGAGGAATCACTAGAGACATGGTGGGGCACACAACAGGCAGACTGACTGACATACACTGCTGAGGGGCGCAGTGGGGGAGACAAGAGAGGTCTCCTGCGCCATGTGGGTCTGCGCCCTGGATGGCCAGGTTTCGAACTTGTGGTACAGAGGCTGGCCATAGCTTCACAGGGCTGTGCTTAACCCTTTGTGCCACCAGAGAAACCCCAGTGGTCTCTCTTTGTAATATGCATAGAAATGGATGACATTACCCAGAACCATTATCTCATGAGAAGGGATGAAATTGTGATACTCCAAATCTATTTTCTCACACTGTTTGTTCATTAGCAGGATTCGATCAAAGAATCTTCTGGGCCTCCCTGGTGGCGCAAGTGGTTAAGAAGCAACCAATGAAGCTGTCCGCAGCCCACTGCAGCACAAGTTTGATCTCCCAGCCAGGAGATACGCACATGGTACAGCAGACCTCTCCTGACTTCCCGCTGCTCCCCTCAGCAGTGTGTATCAGTCAGTCTGTCTGTTCTGCTCCGTACTCTCTCTCTGGTGAATCCTGTCATCCCCACACCTCTGGCCTGTACCCAGTTCTTGAATGCATAAATAAATGAATCTTCTCTAAAAATGGGGAAAAAGAAAAAATAAAAGCAAAGGAAAAAAAAAAAGGAATTTCCCCCTAATCAATGTTTGTTTGCCTAAGGAATCATAAATATCAGAAAGGAAAAATAAAGTCTTTGGTCCTTTCTCTTCATATGCCTTTGAGCATTCCCCAAACGGTCAACAAGGAGGGTATTGTTTTTATATGTAAGATATCTTAATATGAGTGCTTGCATTTCAATAGACTGGATGGCATAGAGTCTGTTCCATTTTACATTCCTGTGGATGCTCAAAGAAGCAAATTCGGGATGACTGTCACTTTTTGGGAATCCAGTAGTTTTTTTGGAGATTTTCTTGCTTTTGATAGAACAGGGCATTCCAGACTCATTGTACATCTCCTGCCCCAACCTCCAGCGAGCTGTTTCATCTCTCACCCCGAGACTGTTCAAACTTTGTTCCCACTTCCCAGCACTCCACCCAACCCCAGCTCAATAACCCTTAGGGAGCCAGATGTGTATTAGAGCTTTGTGCCCTCTGGGTATCAAAATCACACCCATTCTCTGTGTAGAATTCAAGACTGTCTCTACATCATCCTCAGTCTCAGTGCATTTTTATTTTCTCCACTGTCCCATATACCTGACACACCCACACAGTAGTGACTCCGTCGAAAGCAAAAAACAAACCCCTATTCAGTCATCCCTCCACGATCTGAGCGCTCTTTCTTCTCTTCTCCATCTATCGGGACTATCTCTGTGCTAGGACAGGGCTAGTAACATCTTGTGTTTTCAATAAATCCTATATTCTCTCAATCAACGTTCATTCAGGGCCCTGGTGAGGTACCGTGATGATAAATATGCCCAAGACAGTCTCTGATCACGCAGGTTATACAGAAGGATCACAAAAAGAGATTTCAACCAGTCATGATCAATGAGATGCCCCCCCACCGAGGTAGAGTTTGCAACAAATGGAAGGGAATGATTCACTTTGAATGAGGTAGATGTTCAGAACAATAATAGAGAAGAATCGGGACTGGCTATATTAGGATGAGGAAGTGCTTGATGAATTGACTGGGTAAAAAGCACATCCCTAAGATGAAACAGCATGAAAAAACAGCAGGGTATTAGAAGTCCTCATACCTTCTCGGAATATTTAGGAAAAACTACTTTCCTTATTGACGATATGACTTCATCAATCTGAGCCTCAATCACCCCACGTCTAAACAGTAAAGAAAAATTGTGTTTACTTCTTCAAGTCCTTGTGAAGTGTAAACAAGTTAACAATTACAGAGGACTCAGAAACTTCCTGACACGTAGCAGGCATTCAAGAATATGAACGACTAGCACCGTCTCACATTTCCGAAGAAATGTATGGTTTTCCATGCGGTCGGTGCTTGTGCGTACTAATCACACACTAATCTACAGAGTCACCAAACCCCTGAGCATGTCTTGCTTGTCTTCTTAAAGTGTCCATGAAAAAGATAAAGCATCATCCCTTCTCTCTCACTGATAGCAGGCAAAGTATCTCTAACACGCCTTGTGGAGGGGCAGTAGTTGGGAAGAAAAGACTCGCCCGCTGCTCCCCTCAGAGTGTATTTCAGCAGATCCGCCTGTTGTGTTGCCCACTCTGTCTGGTGAATGCGCTCACTCCCCACAACTCTCACCTGGACCCCAGCTCTTGTATGCATAGACAAATACCTCTTTCACACAAAAAAAGAAAGAAAATGCATTTGAATCGCACTCCCTTTATATGCATTCCCTGGGGTTGTTGTCCTGACCAATCACAAAAAAGGTTACCTGAGCAGCACTACTTCGGAAGAACATTCAATAATCACTCAAGTATGTAAAGGCCAGCTCACACCACTGCATTTGTTACCATTGCAGTCAGGGGTCAGTGCGTTACAGCTGTTTCAACACAACAGATGCAGTACACAAGACAGAGAAGAACTTGATGGGCATATTCGCCACTTCCCTGACCACACAGTTCATAGGACCCGCTTATTCCTGCCACTACGTACTGACCATCCCTCCCCAAGGAGCTGTTTGTCCTCATTTTCTCCCCAGCATTTGGATGACTTGCTTGTAACCTCTCACAGGAGAGAGATTGAGTCATCCTAAGATGCGCTCTCAGATGTCATCCTGGAACTACATGGGTGAATGAAGCACTGGCCAAAAGCTCAAACAGACAGACAGACAGAAAACAAACAAAAAAAAACCTGTCAACACAACAACAGAGAAGAGGACACTCGTCACAGGAGGGCAGAAATCTGGGAGTTGATTCACGTGGCCTTGACCCAATGGGAGAGCTCAGAGCACAGCCAGAGCGGGAAATGTCCCTTTTCTATATATAGGGGGATGCATGAGGTCAGAGCAGTGTCCTAATTGACCAAACAAACTGATTCTCTGTGAGTGTCAACAATGAGAGTCCTGCCCTTGGCCAGAGAGAGCCAGCGAGGTATAAAAGAGACGGGAGGAAAGGTGGGGGTCACACTCCAGACCTCACTCTCCTGGACACCGACCCAGAACCTCCGCCCTCCGACACCATGGTCAACTCCTGTTGTGGCTGCGTCTGCCGTGAGCAGGGCTGTGGCCAGGGCTGCTCCCAGGGGACCTGCTGTGCCCCTTGCTGCCAGCCCACTGGCTACTGCCCCAGCTACTGCATGTCCAGCTGCTGCCATCCCAGCTGTGGTTCCAGCTGCTGCCAGCCCTCCTGCTGTGGCTCCAGTGGCTGTAGCTCCAGCTCAAACATGGGCTGCTGCTGCCCCAGCTGCTGCCTGTTGGGCTACTGTCACCCCAGCTGTGGTTCCAGCTGCTGCCAGCGCTCCTGCTGTGGCACCAGTGGCAGTGGCTCCAGCTCCAGCTGCTGCCGCCTCAGCTGCTGCCTGTCTGACTGCTGTCGCCCCAGCTGTGGTTCCAGCTGCTGCCAGCCCAGCTTCTGCATCTGCAGCTGCTGCCACCCCTCCTGCTATGGCTCTAGTGGCTGTAGAACCAGCTCAAACTCAGGCTGCTGCTGCCCCAGGTGCTGCATGTCCGGCTGCTGTCGCCCCACCTGTGGTTCCAGCTGTTGCCAGCCCAGGGGCAGCAATTGCAAGAGCTGCCAACCCTCCTGCTGTGGCTCCAGTGGCTGTGGCTCCAGCTCCAGCAGCTGCTGCCTGCCATCCGCCCTGCCGCCCCTCCTGCTGTGGCTTCGGTGGCTGTAGCTCCATCTCCAACTCTATCCACTGCTGCCCCAGCTGCTGCGTGTCCAGCTGCTGTCGCCCCAGTTGTGGTTCCAGCTGCTGCTGCCCTAGCTGCTGCATCTCCAGCTGCAGCCAGCCATCCTGCTGTGGTTCCAGTGGCTGTGGCTCCAGCTCTGGCTCCTGTCAGCCCAGCTGCTGCATCTGTAGCTGCTGCCGCCCTTCCTGCTATGGTTCCAGTGGCTACGGCTCCAATTCCAGCTGCTGCGGCCCCAGCTGTGGTTCCAGCTGCTGCCAGCCCCGCTGCTGCCACCCCCCCTGCTGTGGTGGCTGTGGCTCCAGCTCCAGCTGCTGCAGGCCCCGCAGCTCTATGTCTAGTTGCTGCCAGCCCAGCTGCTGCATCTGCCAACCCTCTTGCTGTGGCTCCAGTGGCTGTGGCTCCAACACCAGCTGCCGCCCTACCTGTGTTTCGAGCTTCTGCCAGCCCAGCTGCTGCAGCTGCAGGTGCTGCCACCCCTCCTGCAGTGTCTCCAGTGGCTGTGGCTCCAGCTCCAGCTGTTGCAGGCCCAGATGCTGCATGTCAACTTGTTGCCAGCCCAGCTGCTACATCTGTAGCTGCTGCCGACCCTCTTGCTGTGTCTCCAGTGGCTGTGGCTCCAGTTCCAGCTCCAGCTGCTTCCGCCCCAGCTGTGGATCCAGCTGCTGCCAGCCCAGCTGCTGCTTCTGCAGCTGCTGCCACCCACCTGCTGTGGCTCCAGCGGCTCTGGCTCCAGCTCCAACTCCAGTTGGAGCTGCCCCAGCTGTGGATCCAGCTGCTGCCAGCCTTGCTGCTGCATCTCCAGCTGCTGCCGCCAGTCGTGCTGGGGCTCCAGTGGCTCTGGCTCCGGCTCTAGCTGCTGCAGGCCCAGCTGCTGCCGCTCTACTTGCTGCCGCCCCTGCTGTGGCTCCAGCTCCGGCACCTCTGGCTCCAGCTGCTGCTGCCACCCCTGCTGCTGCATCTAGAACTCTTGCCGCCCCTCCTGCTGTGGCTACAACTGCTGTGGCTCCAGCTCCTGCCAGTCCTGCTTCCGCCCCCGTGGCCGCCCCTGCCACTGCCTGCACCCCATCTCTGGCCTGGTGTGCTGCCAAACCACCTGCTATCAACCCACCTGTGTCATCTCCGATGGCCTCGCCCCGCATGCTGTGCTACACCCTGTCCCTCTGCCCGTGATCTCTTCTGATGGCCTCACAAATTCATAGAACTCATGGCTCACCTCTCTAACCACTCACGTACACCATCCTTTTGTGCTCACCCTTAAGACCCAAAGTGCTGTTGATGCTGCTCAATGAGTTGCTCTTAACTTTATCCAGCCTACAGCCCTCGGACCCCTGGCCTGTGGCCCAATTCTGTTCCTTCTAGAAGTTTATCCTCCCATCCTAGTGGGAATTTGTTTGTAATGTTACACCTCATGTCTGGGCCTATTCTCCCCCAATTCTCCTTCTTAACTTTCAGGCCTCAGGGCATCAAGTCCAGGGAGCTAAAAGTTGATTTCAGTATTTCTGCCATGACGGAAGTCTAAGGTCTCTCTCTCAATGGTCCAAAGGCAGACTCTCTTTTATCATTCCTGCTCCCCAACTTATGTTAGGACTCTATACAAAATAAACCACCCCTTCCCTAAAGAACATTCTCATCGTGTGCATACTCTTCTTTAAGATTTTTCGATGGAATGAAATTGTCCTTTACACACACAGGACTGCTGTGAATGGGACATAAAAGCTGAGCCATCTTTCTCACAGCTTAGGTTGCATGGACTGTCTCCTTAGTGCTCAGACAGGAAAGAAAGTCTCAAGATCATCATCAGAAAAAAAAAGACACTTTTTAAAAAATATGGAAACCATTCATGTTCTATGGGACATAGGCAGACCGCTCATCATTATAAGGGTCCTACTGGAATGACTGGAGCTGGGAGGAATGGGTGATTGGGAAAAACATACTGAAAGGCTGAGTGTTATACATCCAAGATGAAAGACAGGGCCCCCTGGTGCACAAGGGCTCAAGGCTCAGCACTATGAAGCAATCCGTAGCTACCATAGCGCGAGTTCGATTCCCAGCCAGGAGCTCACCCACAGCAGACCTGTCCAGTCTCGCCCCCTGCTCCCCTCAGAGTGGATTTCAGTAGATCTGCCTGTTCTGCTCCCCCCTCTGTCTCTGTGAATCCCTTCACCCCATGCTCCTCTGGCCTATAGCCCAGCTCTTCTATGCAGAAATAAATACATCCTAATGAAAAGGGGACAGGAGGTTAGGACAGGATTTCAAGCCAGACTCTTTATTGGGTGCCTAGGAATTGACTCATCTGCAGGCAGAGGGAAGATAAAGCTGAGGACGAATCCCAGGTCTTAGTCAGAGATGAGCAGGTCCCAGCATAGGCTGGTCTACCACGCCAAGGTCTAGACCAAGGTCAACAACAGGACCCTGAGGAATGGGGTGGGGGCGCCTACATGATTGCCCATGATCTGGAGTCTCCCAATTTCCTGACAAGCTCTCATGCGCTGCAAGTAGCAGGGGTGCTACTTTCCCCGTTGACATTCCGTGAGGCCTCTGTTTGGAAGATAACACAGAAAGAGCACACGCCTCCCCGCACTACTGTCTCCTACACTTCTTGCTACAGACCAGTACTTAGGGGTGACTTACAATACAGCACACCGAGAAAATGACCGAACCCGCTAAGGAGGGTCCAGAGCCCAAAAGCTGCGCAGGACTCAAAGGCGGCTTCGTGGATAGCGCTGCTCCTTCCCACCAGGGACACATGCTCCGTTGTCTCTCTTGGTTTTGTTTTTGATTGATTTATTGATGCACCCAAGAACTGCGGTACAGGCCAGGGCTATGGGCGGCGGGGGGAGAGGAATCACTAGAGACACGGTGGGGCACACAACAGGCAGACTGACTGACATACACTGCTGAGCAGTGGGGGAGACAAGAGAGGTCTCCTGCACCCTGGATGGCCAGGTTTCAAACTTGTGCTACAGAGGCTGGCCATAGCTTCACAGGGCTGTGCTTAACCCTTTGTGCCACCAGACAGTCCCCAGTGGTCTCTCTTTGTAATATGCATAGAAATGGATGACATTACCCAGAACCATTATCTCATGAGAAGGGATGAAATTGTGATACTGCAAATCTATTATTCTCACACTGTTTGTTCATTAGCAGGATTCGATCAAAGAATCTTCCGGGCCTCCCTGGTGGCAGAAGTGGTTAAGAAGCAACCAATGAAGCTGTCCGCAGCCCACTGCAGCACGAGTTTGATCTCCCGGCCAGGAGCTACCCACATGGCACAGCAGACCTCTCCTGACTTCCCTCTGCTCCCCTCAGCAGTGTGTATCAGTCAGTCTGTCTGTTCTGCTCCCCACTCTGTCTCTGGTGAATCCTCTCACCCCACACCTCTGGCCTGTGCCCCAGTTCCTGGATGCATAAATAAATGAATCTTCTCTAAAAATGGAAAAAAACAAAAAAGAAAAGGAGGAAAGAAAAAAAGGAACTTTCCCCTCTTCAATGTTTGCTTGTCCTAAGGAATCATAAATATCAGAAAGGCAAAATAAAGTCTTTGGTCCTTTCTCTTCATATGCCATTGAGCATTCCCCAAACGGTCAACAAGGAGGGTTTTTTTTAATATGTAAGATATCTTAATATGAGTGCTTGCATTTCAATAGACTGGATGGCATAGAGTCTGTTCCATTTTACATTCCTGTGGATGCTCAAAGAAGCAAATTCGGGATGACTGTCCTTTGACGGGAATCCAGTAGGTTTTTTTGGAGATATCTTGCTTTTGATAGAACAGGACATTCCAGACTCATTGTACATCTCCTGCCCCAGACCTCCAGAGGGCTGTTTCATCTCTCACCCGGAGACTGTTCAAACTTTGTTCCCACTTCCCAGCACTCCACCCAACCCCAGCTCAATAACCCTTAAGGAGCCAGATGTGTATTAGCAGCTTTGTGCCCTCTGGGTATGAAAATCACACCCATTCTCTGTGTAGAATTCAAGACTGTCTCTACATCATCCTCAGTCTCAGTGCATTTTTATTTTCTCCACTGTCCCATATACCTGACACACCCACACAGTAGTGACTCCATCGAAAGCAAAAACAAACCCCTATTCAGTCATCCCTCCACGATCTGAGCGCTCTTTCTTCTCTTCTCCATCTATCGGGACTATCTCTGTGCTAGGACAGGGCTAGTAACATCTTGTGTTTTCAATAAGTCCTATATTTTCTCAATCAACATTCATTCAGTGCCCTGGTGAGGTACCGTGATGATAAATACGCCCAAGACAGTCTCTGATCACGCAGGTTATACAGAAGGATCACAAAAAGAGATTTCAACCAGTCATGATCAATGAGATGCCCCCCCACCGAGGTAGAGTTTGTCACAAAAGGAAGGGAATGATTCACTTTGAATGAGGTAGATGTTCAGAACAATAATAGAGAAGAATCGGGACTGGCTATATTAGGATAAGGAAGTGCTTGATGAATTGACCGGGTAAAAAGCACATCCCTAAGATGAAACAGCATGACAAAACAGCAGGGTATTAGAAGTCCTCATACCTTCTTGGAATATTTAGGAAAAACTACTTTCCTTATTGACGATATGACTTCATCAATCTGAGCCTCAATCACCCCACGTCTAAACAGTAAAGAAAAATTGTGTTTACTTCTTCATGTCCTTGTGAAGTGTAAACAAGTTAACAATTACAGAGGACTCAGAAACTTCCTGACACGTAGCAGGCATTCAAGAATATGAACGACTAGCACCGTCTCACATTTCCGAAGAAATGTATGGTTTTCCGTGCGGTCGGTGCTTGTGCGTACTAATCACACACTAATCTACAGAGTCACCAAACCCCTGAGCATGTCTTGCTTGTCTTCTTAAAGTGTCCATGAAAAAGATGAAAGCATCATCCCTTCTGTCTCACCGACAGCAGGCAAAGTATCTCTAACACGCCTTGTGGAGGGGCAGTAGTTGGGAAGAAAAACTCGCGCGCTGCTCCCCTCAGCAGTAGATTTCAGCAGATCTGCCTGTTGTGTTGCCCACTCTGTCTGGTGAATGCTCTCACGCCCCACAACTCTCACCTGGACCCCAGCTCTTGTATGCATAGACAAATACCTCTTTCACACAAAAAAAGAAAGAAATTGCATTTGAATCGCACTCCCTTTATATGCATTCCCTGGGGTGTGTTGTCCTGACCTATCACAAAAAATGTTACCTGAGCAGCCCTACTTCGGAAGAACATTCAATAATCACTCAAGTATGTAAAGGCCAGCTCACACCACTGTATTTGTTACCATTGCAGTCAGGGGTCAGTGCGTTACAGCTGTTTCAACCCAACAGATGCAGAAGACAAGACAGAGAACTTGATGGGCATATTCGCCACTTCCCTGGCGACACAGTTCATAGGACCCGCCTATTCCTGCCACTACGTACTGACCATCCCTCCCAAGGAGCTGTTTGTCCTCATTTTCTCCCCAGCATTTGGATGACTTGCTTGTAACCTCTCACAGGAGAGAGATTGAGTCATCCTAAAATCCGCTCCCAGATGTCATCCTGGAACTACATGCGTGAATGAAGCACTGGCACTGGCCAAAAGCTCAAACAGACAGACAGACAGACAGACAAACAAAAAAAAAAAAAAGGTCAACACAACAACAGAGAAGAGGACACTCGTCATAGGAGGGCAGAAATCTGGGAGTTGATTCACGTGGCCTTGACCCAATGGGAGAGCTCAGAGCACAGCCAGAGTGGGAAATGTCCCTTTTCTATATATAGGGGGATGCATGAGGTCAGAGCAGTGTCCTAATTGACCAAACAAACTGATTCTCTGTGAGTGTCAACAATGAGAGTCCTGCCCTTGGCCAGAGAGAGCCAGCGAGGTATAAAAGAGACGGGAGGAAAGGTGGGGGTCACACTCCAGACCTCACTCTCCTGGACACCGACCCAGAACCTCCGCCCTCCGACACCATGGTCAACTCCTGTTGTGGCTGCGTCTGCCGTGAGCAGGGCTGTGGCCAGGGCTGCTCCCAGGGGACCTGCTGCGCCCCTTGCTGCCAGCCCACCGGCTACTGCCCCAGCTGCTGCATGTCCAGCTGCTGTCGTCCCAGCTGTGATTTCAGCAGCTGCCAGCCCTCCTGCTGTGGCTCCAGTGGCTGTAGCTCCAGCTCAAACACATGCTGCTGCTGCCCCAGCTGCTGCCTGTTGGGCTGTTGTCACCCCAGCTGTGGTTCCATCTTCTGCCAGCGCTCCTGCTGCACCAGTGGTTGTGGCTCCAGCTCCAGCTGTGGCTCCTGCAGCTGCTGCCTGTCTGGCTGCTGTCGCCCCAGCTGTGGTTCCAGCTGCTGCCAGCCCAGCTGCAGCAATTGCAACGGCTGCCAACCCTCCTGCTGTGGCTCCAGTGGCTGTGGCTCCGGCTCAAGCTGCTGCCAGCCAAGCTTCTGCATCTGCCGTGGCTGCCGCCCCTCCTGCTGTGGCTTCGGTGGCTGTAGCTCCAGCTCCAATTCCAATCACTGCTGCCCCAGCTGCTGCATGTCCAGCTGCTGTCGCCCCAGTTGTGGTTCCAGCTGCTGCTGCCCTAGTTGCTGCATCTCCAGCTGCAGCCAGCCATCCTGCTGTGGTTCCAGTGGCTGTGGCTCCTGCTCTGGCTCCTGCCAGCCCAGCTGCTGCATCTGTAGCTGCTGCCGCCCTTCCTGCTATGGTTCCAGTGGCTGCGGCTCCAATTCCAGCTGCTGTGTCCCCAGCTGTGGTTGCAGCTGCTGCCAGCCCAGCTGCTGCCACCCCCACTGCTGTTGCGCCAGTGGCTGTGGCTCCAGCTCCAGCTGCTGCAGGCCCCGCTGCTCTATGTCTAGTTGCTGCCAGCCCAGCTGCTGCATCTGCCAACCCTCTTGCTGTGGCTCCAGTGGCTGTGGCTCCAGCTCCAGCTGCCACCCAACCTGCGTTTCGAGCTGCTGCCAGCCCAGCGGCTGCAGCTGCAGGTGCTGCCACCCCTCCTGCAGTGTCTCCAGTGGCTGTGGCTCCAGCTCCAGCTGTTGCAGGCCCAGATGCTGCATGTCAACTTGCTGCCAGCCCAGCTGCTGCATCTGTAGCTGCTGCCGACCCTCTTGCTGTGGCTCCAGTGGCTGTGGCTCCAGTTCCAGCTCCAGCTGCTTCCGCCCCAGCTGTGGGTCCAGCTGCTGCCAGCCCAGCTGCTGCATCTGCAGCTGCTGCCACCCCACCTGCTGTGGCTCCAGCGGCTCTGGCTCCAGCTCCAACTCCAGTTGGAGCTGCCCCAGCTGTGGATCCAGCTGCTGCCAGCCTTGCTGCTGCATCTCCAGCTGCTGCCGCCAGTCGTGCTGGGGCTCCAGTGGCTCTGGCTCTGGCTCTAGCTGCTGCAGGCCCAGCTGCTGCCGCTCTACTTGCTGCCGCCCCTGCTGTGGCTCCAGCTCCGGCACCTCTGGCTCCAGCTGCTGCAACCACCCCTGCTGCTGCATCTAGAACTCTTGCCGCCCCTTCTGCTGTGGCTACAACTGCTGTGGCTCCAGCTCCTGCCAGTCCTGCTTCCGCCCCCGTGGCCAAGCCTGCCGTTGCCTGTACCCCATCTCTGGCCCGGTGTGCTGCCAAACCACCTGCTATCAACCCACCTGTGTCATCTGCGATGGCCTCACCCCGCATGCTGTGCTACACCCTGTCCCTCTGCCAGTGATCTCTTCTGATGGCCTCACGAATTCCCAGAACGCATGGCTCACCTCTCTAACCACTCATGTACATCCTCCTTTTGTGCTCACCCTTAAGACCTAAAATGCTGTAGCTGCTGCTCAATTTAGATGGTGCGCTCAACTTTATCGAGCCCACAGCAGCCCTTGGAACTCTGGCCTGCGGCCCAATTCTGCTCCTTCTAGATGTTTCTCCTCCCATCCTAGTGGGAATTTTTTGTAATGTTACAGCTCTTGTCTGGGCCTATTCTCCCCCAATTCTCCTTCTTAGCTTTTGGGCCTCTGGGCATCAAGTCCAAGGAGCTAAAAGTTGATTTCAGCATTTCTACCATGACGGAAGTCTAAGGTCTCTCTCTCAATGGTCCAAAGGCAGACTCTCTTTTATCATTGCTGCTCCCCAACTTATGTTAGGACTCTATACAAAATAAACCACCCCTTCCCTAAAGAACATTCTCATCGTGTGCATACTCTTCTTTAAGATTTTTCGATGGAATGAAATTGTCCTTTACACACACAGGACTGCTGTGAATGGGACATAAAAGCTGAGCCATCTTTCTCACAGCTTAGGTTGCATGGACTGTCTCCTTAGTGCTCAGACAGGAAAGAAAGTCTCAAGATCATCATCAGAAAAAAAACACTTTTAAAAATATATGGAAACCATTCATGTTCTATGGGACATAGGCAGACCGCTCATCATTATAAGGGTCCTACTGGAATGACTGGAGCTGGGAGGAATGGGTGATTGGGAAAAACATACTGAAAGGCTGAGTGTTATACATCCAAGATGAAAGACAGGACCCCCTGGTTACACAAGGGCTCAAGGCTCAGCACTATGAAGCAATCTTTAGCTACCATAGTGCGAGTTCGATTCCCAGCCAGGGAGCTCACCCACAGCAGATGTGTCCATTCTCGCCCGCTGCTCCCCTCAGAGTGGATTTCAGTGGATCTGCCTGTTCTGTTCCCCACTCTGTCTCTGGTGAATCCCCTCACCCCATGAACCTCTGGCCTGTAGCCCACCTCTCCTATGCATAAATGAATAAATCTTTAAAAAAAAAGGGGGCAGAGGTTAGGACAGGATTTCAAGCCAGACTCTTTATTGGCCGCCTAGAAATGGACTCATCTGCAGGCAGAGGGAAGATAAAGCTGAGGACAAATACCAGGACTTAGTCAGAGATGAGCAGGTCCCAGCATAGGGTGGTCTACCACGCCAAGGTCTAGACCAAGGTCAACAACAGGACCCTGAACAATGGGGTGGGGGCGCCTACATGATTGCCCATGATCTGGAGTCTCCAAATTTCCTGACATGCTCTGCATTTGCAGTGATGCTACTTTCCCTGTTGACATTCTGTGACGCCTGTTTTTGAAGATGACGCAGAAAGAGTACACACCTCACCTCACTACTGTCTCCTACAGCTCTTGCTACAGACCAACAGACCAATACGTAGGGGCTGAGTTACAATACAGCACACCGAGAAAATGACCAAACCCCCTAAGGGGAGTCCAGAGCCCAAAAGCTGCGCAGGACTAAAGGCAGCTTCATGGATAGCGCCGTTCCTTCTACCAGGGACACACGCTCTGTTGTCTCTCTTGGTTTTGCTTTTGAAAGACTGATTTATTGATGCATCCAAGAACTGGGGTACAGGCCAGGGCTGCGGGCAGCGGGGCAAGAGGAATCACTAGAGAAACAGTGGGGCACAAAATAGGCAGACTGACTGAAATACACTGCTGAGGGGCGCAGTGGGGGAGACAAGAGAGGTCTCCTGCGCCATTTGGTTCTGTGCCCTGGACGGCCACCTTTCAAACTTGTGCTACAGAAGCTGGTGATAGCTTCACAGGGCTGTGCTTAACCCCTTGTGTCACTAGGGAGGCTCCAGTGGTCTCTCTTTGTAATATGCATAGAAATGGATGACATTACCCAGAACCATTATCTCATGAGGAGGTATGAAATTGTGATACCATAAATCTACTATTCTCCTACTGTTTGTTCATTAGCAGGATTCGATCAAAGAATCTTCCGGGCCTCCCTGGTGGTGCAAGTGGTTAAGAAGCAACCGATGAAGCTGTCCACAGCCCACAGGGGCATAAGTTTGATCCCCCAAGGCAGGGAGCTACCCACATGGCACAGCAGACCTCTCCTGACTCGCCTGCTACTTCCCTCAGCAGTGTGTATCATTCAGTCTGGCTGTTTTGCTCCCCACTCTGCCTCTGGTGAATCCTCTCACCCACATAACTCTGGGCTTTATCCCAGTTCTTGGATGCATAAATAAATGAATCTTCTCTAAAAATGGGGGAAAAAGGACAAATAAAAGAAGAGAAAAAAAAAAGGAATTTCCCCCTCATCCATTTTTGGTTGTCCTAAGGAATCATAAATATCAGAAAGGCAAAATAAAGTCTTTGGTCCTTTCTCTTCATTTGCCATTGAGCATTCCCCAAACGGTCAACAAGGAGGGTTTTTTTTCTTTTTATGTAATGTGTCTTAATATGAACACTTGGATTTCAATAGACTGGATGGCATAGTGTCTATTCCATTTTACATTCCTGTGGATGCTCAAATAAGCATATTCGGGATGACTCTCTTTTTGACAGGAATCTGGTAGTTTTGGAGATTTTCTTGCTTTTGATAGAACAGGGCATTCCAGACTCATTGTACATCTGCTGCCCCAGAACTCCAGAGGGCTGTTTCATCTCTCACCCCGAGACTGTCCAAACTTTCTTCTCAATCCCAGCACTCCACCCAACCCCAGTTAAAAAAACCCTTAGGGAGCTGAGATGTGTACTGGCAACTTTGTGCCCTCTGGGTATCAAAATCATACCCATTCTCTGTGTAGAATTCAAGACTGTCTCTACATCATCCTCAGCCTAAGTGCATTTTTATTTTCTCCACTGTCCCATATACCTGACACATCCACACAGTCAGTCACGCCATTGAAAGGGAAAAACAAACCCCTATTCAGTCATCCCTCCACGATCTGAGCGCTCTTTCTTCTCTTCTCCATCTATCGGGACTATCTCTGTGCTAGGACAGGGCTAGTAACATCTTGTGTTTTCAATAAGTCCTATATTCTCTCAATCAACGTTCATTCAGGGCCCTGGTTAGATACCGTGATGATAAATATGCCCAAGAAAGTCTCTGATCACACAGGTTATACGGAAGGATCACAAAAAGAGATTTCAACCAGTCATGATCAATGAGATGCCCTCCACCAGAGGTAGAGTTCCTCGCAAAAGGAAGGGAATGATTCACTTTGAATGTGGTAGATGTTAAGAACAATAATAGAGAAGAATGCATATCAGGACTGGCTATTTTAGGATGAGGAAGTGCTGGATGAATTGACCAGCTAGAAAGCACATCCCTAAGAATGAAACAGCATAAAAAAAAACAGCAGGGTATTAGGAGTCCTCATACCTTCTTGGAATATTCTTGGAAAACTACTTTCCTTATTGATGATATGACTTCATCAATCTGAGCCTCAATCACCCCTCGTCTAAACAGTAAGGAAAAATTGTGTTTACTTCTTCAAGTCCTTGTGAAGAGTAAACAAGTTAACAATTACAGAGGACTCAGAAACTCCTGACACGTAGCAGGCATTCAAGAATATGAACGACTAGCACCGTCTCACATTTCCGAAGAAATGTATGGTTTTCCATGCGGACGGTGCTTGTGCGTACTAATCACACACAGTACTCTACAGAGTTACCAAACCCCTGAGCATGTCTTGCTTGTCTTCTTAAACTGTCCATGAAAAAGATGAAAGCATCATCCCTTCTGACTCACCGACAGCAGGCAAAGTATCTCTAATACGCCTTGTGGAGGAGCAGTAGTTGGAGAGAAGACTCGCCCGCTGCTCCCCTCAGAGTGTATTTCAGCAGATCCACCTGTTGTGTTGCCCACTCTGCCTGGTGAATGCGCTCATGCCCCGCAACTCTCACCTGGACTCCAGCTCTTATATGCATAGACAAATACCTCTTTCACACACAAAAAAAAGAAAGAAATTGCATTTGATTGCACTCCCTTCATGTGCATTCCCTGGGGTGTGTTGTCCTGCTGAAATCAGATACAAATGTTACCTGAGCAGCCCTACCTCGGAAGAACATTCAATAATCATTCACGTATGTAAAGGCCAGCTCACGCCAATGTATTTGTTACCATTGCAGTCAGGGGTCAGTGCGTTACAGCTGTTTCAACCCAACAGATGCAGTAAGACAAAACAGAGAAGAACTTGATGGGCATATTCGCCACCTCCCTGACCACACAGTTCAAAGGACCCGCCTATACCTGCCTCCACGTAGTGACCATCCCTCCCCAAGGAGCTGTTTGTCCTCATTTTCTGCCCAGCATTTGGATGACTTGCTTGTAACCTCTCACAGGAGAGCAGATTGAGTCATCCTAAGATGCGCTCTCAGATGTCATCCTGGAGCTACGTGCGTGCATGAAGCACTGGCACTGACCAAAAGCTCAAACAGACAGACAGACAGACAGACAAACAAAAAACAAAAAAAAAAATCAACACAACAGAGAAGAGGACACTCGTCACAGGAGGGCAGAAATCTGGGGGTTGATTCACGTGGCCTAGATCCAAAGGGAGAGCTCAGAGCACAGCCAGAACGGGAAATGTCCATTTTCTATATATAGGGGGATGCATGAGGTCAGAGCAGTGTCCTAATTGACCCAACAAACTGATTCTCTATGAGTGTCAACAATGAGAGTCCTGCCCTTGGCCAGAGAGAGCCAGCGAGGTATAAAAGAGACAGAGGAAAGGTGGGGGTCACACTCCAGACCTCACTCTCCTGGACACTGACCCAGAACCTCCGCCCTCCGACACCATGGTCAACTCCTGTTGTGGCTGTGTCTGCCGTGAGCAGGGCTGTGGCCAGGGCTGCTCCCAGGGGACCTGCTGCGCCCCTTGCTGCAAGCCCACAGGCTACTGCCCCAGCTGCTGCATGTCCAGCTGCTGTCATCCCAGCCGTGGTTCCAGCTGCTGCCAGCCCTCCTGCTCTGGCTCCAGTGGCTGTGGCTCGAGTTCCAGCTACTGCCGCCACAGCTGCTGCCTGTCTGGCTGCTGTCATCCTAGCTGTGGTTCCAGCTGCTGCCAGCCCAGCTGCTGCATCTGCAGCTGCTGCCGCCCCTCCTGCCGTGGCTCCAGTGGCTGTGGCTCCAGCTCAATCTCGGGCTGCTGCTGCCCCAGCTGCTGCATGTCCGGCTGTTGTCGCCCCAGCTGTGGTTCCAGCTGCTGCCAGCCCAGCTGCAGCAATTGCAATGGCTGTGGCTCCTGCTGTGGTTCCAGCTGCTGCCAGCCCAGCTGCTGCATATGCAGCTGCTGCCGCCCCTCCTGCTGTGGCTCTGGTGGCTGTAGCTCCAGCTCCAACTCCAGCCACTGCTGCCCCAGCTGCTCCATGTCCAGCTGCTGTCACCCCAGTTGTGGTTCCCGCTGCTGCTGCCCAATCTGCTGCATCTCCAGCTGCTGCCAGCCATCCTGCTGTGGTTCCAGTGGCTGTGGCTCCCACTCTGGCTCCTGCAAACCTAGCTGCTACATATGTACCTGCCGCCGCCCTTCCAGCTGTGGTTCCAGTGGCTGCGGCTCCAATTCCAGCTGCTGTGGCCCCAGCTGTGGTTCCAGCTGCTGCCAGCCCAGCTGCTGCTGCTGTAGCTGCTGCCACCCCTCTTGCTGTCACACCAGTGGCTGTGGCTCCAGCTCCAGCTGCTGCAGGCCCTGCTGCTGTATGTCTAGTTGTTGCCAGCCCAGCTGCTGCATCTGCCGACCCGCTTGCTGTGGCTCCAGTGGCTGTGGCTCCAGCTCCAGCTGCTGCCGCCCCACCTGTGTTTCCAGCTGCTGCCAGCCCAGCTGCTGCAGCTGCAGGTGCTGCCACCCCTCCTGCTGTGGCTCCAGCGGCTCTGGCTCCGGCACCAGCTGTTGCAGGCCCAGATGCTACATGTCTAGTTGCTGCCACCCCAGCTGCTGCATCTCCAGCTGCTGCCGACCCTCTTGCTGTGGCTACGGTGGCTGTGGCTCCAGCTCCAGCTGCTGCTGCCCCAGCTGTGGGTCTATCTGCTGCCAGCCCAGCTGCTGCATCTGTAGCTGCTGCCGCCCCTCCTGTTGTGGCTCCAGTGGCTGTGGCTCCAGCTCCAGCTGCTGCCACCCCCGCTGTGGTTCCAGCTGCTGCCAGCCCAGCTGCGGCATCTGCAGCTGCTGCCATCCCTCCTGCTGTGGCTCTAGCGACTCTGGCTCCGGCTCCAGCTGCTGCAGGCCCAGCTGCTGCAGCTCTACTTGCTGCCGCCCCAGCTGTGGGTCCAGCTGCTGCTGCCCTTGTAGTGTTTCCAGCTCCAGCTTCTCTGGCTCAAGCTGCTGCTGCAACCCCTGCTGCATTTCTAGCTGCTGCCACCCCTGCCGCTGCCTCTGGAACTAGTCACACCCTTCTTGCTGTCGCTCCAGCTCCAGTGACTGTGACTCCAGGTCCTAGACATCCTGCCTCCCCTGCCACTACCTGCACTCCATCTCTGGCCCGGTGTGCTGCCAAACCACTTTCTATCAACCCACCTGTCATCTCCAAATGCCCCTGCCCTGAGTGCTGTGCTATACCCTGTCCCTCTGCCTGTGATCTCTGTCTGATGGCCTCACAAATTCACAGAACGCATTGCTCACCTCTCTAACCACTGATATACACCCTCTTTGTGCTTACCCTTAGTACATAAAATGCTGTTGATGTTGCTCAATGAGTTGTTCTCAATGTTACTGAGCCCACCGCAGCCGTACATCCTTTGGACCTCTGGCCTGGGGTCCAATTCTGCTCCTTCTAGATGTTTCTCCTCCCACCCTTGTGGGAATTTTTTGTAACATTATGGCTTTTGTCTGTGCCTATTCTCCCCAAAATCTCCTTCTTAGCTTTCAGGCCTCAGGGTATAAAGTCCAAGGAGCTAAAAGTTGATTTCAGTATTTCTACCATGATGGAATTGTAAGGTCTCTCTCTTAATGGCCCAAAGGCAGACTCTCTGTAATCATTCCTGCTCCCCAACTTATGTTATGACTCTACACAAAATAAACCACCCCTTTCCTTAAACAAAATTCTCATCGTGTGCATACTCTTCTTTAAGATTTTTTGACGGAATGAAAATTGTCCTTTACACACACAGGACTGCTGTGAATGGGACATAAAAGCTGAGCCATCTTTCTCACAGCTTAGGTTGCATGGACTGTCTCCTTAATTCTCAGACAGGAAAGAAAGTCTCGAGATCATCATCAGAAAAAAAACACTTTTTAAAAAATGTGGAAATCATTCATATTCTATGGGACATAGGCAGACCATTCATAATGATAAGGGTCCTAAACTAGGGTGACTGGAGCTGGGAGGAATGGGTGATTGGGAAAAACATAATGAAAGGCTGAGTGTTACACAGGACTAGTAAATATCTTGCATTTTTACAAATCATATATTCTCTCAATTAACGTTCATTCAGGGCCCTGGTTAAGTAGTGTGTTGATAAATATGACCAAGACACTCTCTGATCACACGGGATATACAGAAGGATCACAAAAAGAGATATAAACCAGTCATGATCAATGAGATGCCCTCCACCAGAGGTAGAGTTCGTCGCAAAAGGAAGGGAATGATTTACTTTGAATGTGGTAGATGTTGAGAACAATAATAGAGAAGAATGGGTATCGGGGCTGGCTATTTTAGGATGAGGAAGTGCTGGATGAGTTGACCGGGTAGAAATAACATCAGTAAGAAGGAAACATTGTGGGCCTCCCCGGTGGCGCAGCGGTTGAGCGCTGGGTTGCGAAGCTGCCGAAGCCTCTGCGACACCGGTTCGATCCCCGGCTGCTCCCCGGCCACCAGAGGAGGATCCCACATGGCGCGCAGACCTCTCCTGCCGCCCGCTGCTCCCCTCAGCAGTGTACTTCGGTCCTTCTGCCTGCTCTGCTCCCCGCTCTGGCTCTGGTGAATTCTCTCACCCTCCCGCACTTCTGACTGTACCCAGTGCATGTATAAACAAAAAAAAAAAAAAAAAAAACCAAACAAATAAATAAAACATGCCTCTATTAAAAAATAAAATAAAAAAAAGATTATTAAAAAAAGAAGGAAACATTGTGAAAAACAGCAGAGTATTATGAGTCCTCATACCTTCTTGGAATAGTCTAGGAAAAACTACTTTCCTTATTGATGATATGACTTCATCTGTCTGAGCCTCAACAGCCCCATGTCTAAAGAATAAAGAATAATTGGGCCTCCCTGGTGTCGCAGCGGGTTGAGGTCGCGCTGTGGAGCTGTCCACAGCCTCTGCAGCGAGGGTTCAATTCCCAGCAGATCCGCCTGTTGTGTTGTCCACTCTGTCTGGTGAATGTGCTCACGCCCCACAACTCTCAACTGGACCCCACCTCTTGTATGCATAGACAAATACCTCTTTCACACAAAAAAAGACAGAAAATGCATATGAATCGCACTCCCTTTATGTGCATTCCCTGGGGTGTGTTGTCCTGCCAAATCAGATAAAAATGTTACCTGAGCAGCCCTACCTCGGAAGAACATTCAATCATCATTCATGTATGTAAAGGCCAGCTCACGCCACTGTATTTGTTACCATTGCTGTCATGAGTCTGTGCATTACAGCTGTTTCAACCGCACAGATGCAGTAAGACATACAGAGAAGAACTTCATGGGAACATTTGCCACCTCCCTGACAACGCAGTTCAAAGGACCCACCTATTCCTGCTTCCACGTGGTGACCATCTCTCCCCAAGAAGCTGCTTGTCATTTTCTCCCAAGCATTTTGGATGACTTGTTTGTAACCTCTGACAGCAGAGCAGATTTTTTTCAGCCTAAGATCTGCTCTCAGCATTTCATCTGGGTGCTAAATACATGAATGAAGCACTAGCCTGGTAAAAGCTAAAAAAAAAAAAAAAAAAAAAAAAAGCCAGTACTGCCAGCCCATCTGCAGCTGCCCCAGCTGCTGCATGTCCAGCTGCTGTCCCCCAGCTGTGTTTCCAGCTGCTGCCAGCCCAGCTGCTACATCTGCAGCTGCTGCTGACCCTCCTGCTGTGGCTCCAGTGGCTGTGGCTCGAGTTCCGGCTGCTGCTTCCCCAGCTGCTGTATGTTCAGCTGCTGTCACCCCATCTGTTTGTCCAGCTGTGCCAGCCTAGCTGCTGCATCTCCACCTGCTGCCAGCCATCTTGCTGTGGCTCCAGTGGCTGTTGCTCTAGCTCTGGCTACTGCTGCCCTAGCTGTTCCATCTGCAGCTGCTGCCACCCATCTTGTTGTGGCTCCCCAGGCTGTAGCTCCTGCTCCAGCTGCTGCCACCCCAGGTGTGGTTCCAGGTGCTGCCTGCCCAGCTGTTGCATCTGAAGCTGCTGCCGCCCATCCTGCTCTGGCTCCAGTGGCTGTGGCTCCACCTCCAGCTTCTGCTGTCCAGCTTTGGATCTAGCTGTCTGCTGCCAGTCCAGCTGCTGCTCTTTCAGCTGCTGTCATCCCTCCTGCTGTGGTTCCAGTGGCTGTGGCTGCAACTCCATCTGGTCCAGCCCCACTGCTGCATGTCTAATTGCTGCAACCCCAGCTACTACGTCTCCAGCTGCTGCCACCCCTCCTTCCATGGCTCCATTGGCTGTGTCTCCAGCTCAGGTTGCTGCCAGCCAAACTGTTGCATCTCTATTTTGCTGTTCCAGCTGCAGATCCAGTGGCTGCCAGCCCAGATCTGCTGCTGCTGCCGTCCCTCCTGCTGTGGCTCCAGTGGCTGTGGTTCCAGCTGCAGCTGTTGACTCACTTGCTGTTGCCTATGCCCAGTCTGTGGCCAGGTGTCCTGCTATCCCACCTGCTATCAACCCACCTGTATCATCTCACCTGTCCCTGACCCACGTGCTATGCTTCCTCTTGCAGCTGAATCTCTGCTTTGAATACACCATCTGTATCATTTCCCTCCCCATATTGCAAATCCTGTGTTTATAAACTGTGGCGTGCTCAGGAGACTTGACTTGACCTGAGCCCCATCAGCCAACCCCAGTCTTATTAATTCTGTGTTCATATTTTAAGTCTTGTTCAAATCATATGGCAAAATAAACATCTTTCTATTGCCACTGAAAGTTTTTAAAGGTTTTATCTTTAAGTCCTGGGTCATTGTATTTTACCTACACCTGTTGGACAAAAAGCACATACTAACCAACTTCCAACAGAAGCCAAATGCTATTTGTTACTGATTTTTTTCTGGAAAGTCTTCTAAGTCTTCAAGCAATTAATCATTTTCTAATCTTTATGGGGAGTAATTGTGAAACTGAAGTCACGTATATAATGATGGGATGTTTCAGAAGATGTGAACGCAATTAATGATCTTTTAAAACACTACCTGTCAGGACTTTTCCACCAATAAAATAACCAATAGCTAGTTTAGTGCCTCATGAGCAATGACCCCTTTCTCTACATAAGCAGTGGTTCTGCTTTATGAATAGGGGTCAGGGGATGGTTGATCTGGTGGCGGGACAACCTTCAGGACCAGGCAGGTGGTGCCGATGAATGAAGCAGGACTGTGATAGTTCATGGATATTGCTAGAGGCTGTGATTTTTTGCACAAGTTCAGGTCCCCTTTTCAAGGTCATTCTCAGTACTGAGACTCCCACTAAGGCTACATCTCAGCTTACTTTGTCCCATGTTTAAACCTGCTCCT